AAATTACAAAAAAAAAAAAAAAAACCCTGGAAAAACTATGTTGTGGCAGTTGTGCAGGAAAATAAATTGAACAACTGTCCTTCGGGACATCCGTTAAAATTGGAACGATACAGAGAAGGAAGATTAGCATGGCCCCTGTGCAAGGATACATAAATCGAGAGAAACGGTCCAAACTTAAAATTAAAAAAAAAAGAAAAAAAAAAGAAAGAAAGAAAGAAACGGTCCAAACTTTTGTGGTATGGCCACACCAAAGCTAATGCATCCTACCCCGTCTGAACCGCCGTTGGCCCCAAATAGTAGTGGGATGGGTGACGTCTTCGGAATTCCCATTGCTATACCTGTTCTTTTTTTTTTTCCTCTTTTTTTTGTCTTGGGAGGCCCCATCTATTGGTCGGGGGCGTCACCTGCTGGAAAACGGGTCCAGCGTCCCCTATACAAATATAACATCAGCTGAGACCTTTATAAGAGTTCGCTGTAAGTGTGCCTATCTTGGCTGTGGTTGTACCTCCAGGACAGACTCCTGTCCCGAGTAGTATGCTGCTTTGTAGAATTGTGTCCTACCTTATATCCTACCATCTATTTGTGGACAGCATCATCTGCTGGAAACCGAGTCCAGCGTCCATGTACAGTCCAATGTAGCATGTCTCAGATCCTCGCCTGAGTGTTTGTCATTACCTAAGCACTGCAGTCAATCATCTTCTACCCCCGGGGTTCTACTGAAAAAAAAAAAACTGAACGATTTTTGCCTTAGGGTCTTGCTCCCCCCGAATCCGTAACTCTCTCGAGCTATTTTGTATTTTGCCTTCGGCACTGGGCCTTTAATGGAGGCTATTTTCTAGTTGTTGTTGTTGTGGGGGGGGGATTTATTTGTCAAAAAAAAAAAAAAAGTCCCCGCCGGGCAAGTGGTCCTGGGCCAGTCTGGTAAAGTAGATTCTGTCCAATTTTGTTCTAGCCAATCCACAAAGGGTTGCTGGCAAAGAGAGAGGAAAGGGGTATTTTACTATTTTTACCTATGTTACCAGAGTCGCCCGGGCCAGGCCACCCGGCTGGCGACCGACAGTATCTTGTGACATGGAGTGGATTGAGGATGAGTGGGGCACAGGCCCCGACCGGCAGTATCTTGTGAGGTTCGCATTCCAGCCTCCTTCTGAGAACAGATGGTTCTACAGAAGGGAACTTCTCAAGACAGGAACTTCTCAAGACAGCAAAGTCAGTTGTGTTGCGATATGAAGCGGCTCAGAAGGGCAACCTTCCTCGTCGTTCACCTCGCCTGCACCCCTAGCTCGGAGGTCCTCGCTCCCGGGGAGGGTAAGCCTGCAATGACTTGCTGAATTCTACTGCCGAGATTGACTGCGAGGCTGTACACTAACCGGTAGGGTTAGATTCGTAATTTTATTTGGCTGAGGGCTAACCGAGACCCCTAGGACAGACAGACCCTAAGCGGCCTATACTGCTAGACGGTCCTATAGCCTATAGCCGGGTCCGGTAGAAGCCGAGAGGCCGAAACAGCAACGGTACCGGTCGGTCAGTCAGTCCGGTCTAGGTCTAGGTAGTCTATAGATAGGTTAGGCCCATCGGTTCAGGACTTTTGGCAGTTCATTTCTCGCGAAGCAGCGTTGGAGAAGCCAAGGAAGTTGGTGGCGGTGACGGTCTGCAGGCGGCATCCTGAGACGCACCGTGACAGCAGCCATAGCTGGCCCTCTCTGAGTCTGCCATAGCTGGGGCATCCTCAGCGCACCTACCCCTGGGGGGTATCTGCATATGGCCGGGCTGTATCGAGGGTCTACAGTGTGTGTTCGTGGGTGGTGGCAGCCATAGCTGCCTATTCCTTCGTCGGAGTTGTCCATCGGCACTGAAGACTTCATCGCAGGACCTGTTGCGCTGGCCTCCGGGAGGCCAATCTGATGTGGCGCCACTAACCGGGTGTAGGATAGAGAGTGGGGTGTGAGTTCTGAGAGTGGCGAGATACTGGAACAAACTCTGTTACGATAATTGTTGGAGTGGTTCATCATCAGTGTGAATTCCAATTGTGATCTTCGCAGGTTCTAATTGTGATTGGTTGTCGGGAGTTGTGTCAGAGAGTGAGAAACACTGTGTGTCTTCTCCCCATCTGTGCATGATTGTCTTCCGCTGCTCATTTTCACCTGTGTACAGTTTGGACTCTGTCTCCTCTCTCCCCTTCTCTTATGCATGTATGGGCATGTGTGAGATTGTCTGTGTGTGAGTGGCGATAAAATTCATCAGACAACCACGTTCATAACACCTGTCTGGAGAGCCTTGTGTTTTTCAGTACTATTAGCTGCCACTAATCCACTTTTTTCTTGTTTTATGGCAACTAGCGAAGTTTGGGTCTCACCACATGGATGGCTACGGAGTGCAAGCTGCAGGCTACCGGCTGACATCATCGGAGGAGAGGTACCGCTCCCAGTGGATAGACACGGTATGAGCATTGCTTTCCCATCTTTTTTCTTCTTTTCTTTTCTGAAAAAAAGTAAAGATTTTGATATCATCGTTGAACTGACCGGCCCTAGGTACATGTTTCAAGATTTTTTTTTTTTTTTTTGGTGGGGGGATGGGGTGGGGGGAACAGCTCTCCTTGTATTCTTTTTTTTTTTTCAAAAGTTGTGATGACCCGTCCAAACATGGACTGAAACACACAGCTGATTTCTGAGTTTTGCCCATAGACTGAATGCCCTGCTGAGTTTCCCGTTTACTACTAAGTCTGTGTGTGCACGCTTGCTGGACTGCATGTCTGTCTGAGTGCTGGTTGGCTTGAGTGTGTGTGTGGCTGTGCCTGTCTGAGTGCTGGTTGGCTTGAATGTGTGTGTGGCCCGCAAGGGCACTTGCTCGTTCATTGGGCCCTCAGGGCCGGTACTTACCTGTGGCCGTGACATTGAGGGATGGCAGCAGGAAAAACACTCAAGTAGCGGGTAGGCCGGTACCGCACCCTGAAGGGGTGGATGTGCGGGTACTGGAGGCCGAGCAGAAGAAGACAAAAGTGGGATTTTTAGAGGCCCAGTAGTTGTAGGTTAGGTCTAGGCGGATACCAGTCCAACCAGTCTGGGTCTAGGGCCTGTACGGGCAATATCAGAGTCTGCAATGATGTTGCCCTCCGAAAGGGAGGAGGTACCTGTTGCTTGGAAGGCCGAGCGGCCTGGAAGTCACCGCCCGAAGAGGCAAGCAGACCGCTATATCTCCCAGCCGGGCGAAGAGCCCGGCCTCTTTTTCGGTGTGCAAGTTTGGCGACACACTGCTTGGAGCGTTGGTTGGAGCAGCGCTATCCAAGAGCAGTGGTGCTGGGGGAAGAAGAAGGACACGGAGGAGGAAAAAGGACAGGAAGGGGGAGGAGCGCCAGGGGTACTTACCTGGCTATGGTGGCAGCCATCGTCATCACCTTGGTGGGCGCTGCAGCAGGGAGTCCCCAACTGGGGAGAGCTACACCAAGAAGCTTCGAGGCAGGGTCGGGCATGGCGGCCTGAGCTAGAGCAGCCATAGTTGCTTTGGGTTGTCCTTTGGGCATCTGGGCCAGGCCTAGTAGTCCGCCATAGCCCCGGCCTATGAGAGTGAAGAGTGGGAGAGGCGGCCATGGCTATGGTGGACCTCAAGTGAAACCTGCAGTAGAAGAGGAACTCGGACATTGATTCTGGATCAGCCATTCAACGTTGTATTATTATTTCTTGTATGAATAAGAGAAGGGGGAGATAAGGAGGAGGAGATTGTTGGGCAAAGAAGAAGAGCCTTGTCATTTGTCTATGCGGGTGTACATCATCTTCTTCTTCTCTTTTACTTCTTCTTCTTCGTCTAATCCTCTCTCTCCTCTCAAGTTCATTCATTTCTTTCTGCAATTGGACGGCATTGTACTATCTGATGGATGTGTATCTCGAAATTGGTCAGGATCATAACAAAGTAAGCTATATTCTTCTCTCATCTATTATCTCATCTTCTTGGTAGGATGCATCTATCTCATCCTCTCGCTAGTCTATGTATAGTACGGGGGAACACCAACCAAGCCGGATCTCTCCCTGGAGAGAGGATGAGATAGATGCCGCCCTGCTGCTGAAGACTGGGCCAACCAAGTACGGCTGGATTAAGAGTCCACAAGGTCCCCCCTCTCTGCTTTTTTTTTACCAACTGAAGACTGGAAGAAGGGCGATGCTGATGCTCGATGGTTCGCATGAGCGTCCAGTAGTGAGTTTGTATTTTGCATTCCATGTCCTCCACGAGAGTAAAGCCTCACATGGTTTGCTTTTGATACATGAATGCTGTTTTTTTCTTTGTTTTTTTCTTTTTTTGGGCTGTAAAACGGGTCCAGCGTCCCCCTTCTCTCCTACTACCCTGGATGGCAGAACATTGGTAGCCAGTGCGACTTTGCGTCCCTGGATGTTAGAGTCCCAAGTCCCAAGTCCCAAGTCCCGCGTCCCAAGTCCATTGACATTCCTCTCTCTTCTGCCATGCGGTTTTTCATTCAGTTTTGAGAGGTGTCGTATGCTGCCCGCTGAACATAATGGGTTTATCCGATCAGCAGCATTCCTACGATTGTCATCAGAGTTCCCCCCCCCCAAAAAAAAACAGATGATACGTCTTGTAGTTCTGCGTGGCATAAGCTGACGATGTGTGTTCTTCCTTGCTTCGATCACGACTTTTACAGATCTATGTGACACTTCATATGATGAAGGTTGTTGAGCCTGAAGAAGCATCAAATACTCCGGACATGGGAGATGAGTGGCTCAGAAATATTGTACATGTAAGTGTGAGAAGTTCTTTGTCCTCCTCGTCCTCCTCGTCCTCCTCGTCCTCATCAGCAGCATCAGCACAGTCATTTCCGCATCAGCAGCATCAGCACCGTCATTCCCCGGTCCTTGCCACAATCACCATTACCTCAGCAAGAAAAAATATTCATATGTCATCAATATCAGCAGCATCCAACTTGACCATTATCATCCTGGTTATCCTGAATATGCTTATCAGTGTTATCACGACTAACACGTTCTCCTCCAGCGTTGCGCCCCTTGTTCGCTGTCTCGTCTTGCTCCTCCTCCCTTCTACTGTTGCTGCTGCTGCTGCTGCTGCTGGCTCTCATTATCAACCTCTTGCTTGCTTGCTGGCATTACCATTGCTGGCATCTTGTTTCAGGCCTTACTCTCCTTTGCTCTTCTCTCCTCTCCTCTCCTCTTCTCTCCTCTCCTCTCCTGTCCTGTCCTCTCCTGTCCTGTCCTCTCCTGTCCTGCTCTCTCTGCTGCTCTCCTCTGCTCTCTTGTCTTCTCCTCTCTTCTCGTCACTGTTTACAGTACATGACTCTGGCTGTGTGTGTGAGGTGATGTGAGGATGACGAGACAGAAGAGCTGACTCGCAGTCACACAACCGCGCTACCGCAGCGTACCATGTGCGGAAACCATCCCAATAAATTAACTCTTGTAAGACGGGAGTGACACACAAAGAGTTTGGATGTTTACGTTTTTTATTTATTTTTTCCTCATAAGAAACCTTCCATGTGACCGGCAATGACAGTTGTAGTTTGCAGAGTTGTTTAACTTCTTCTTGTTGTTTTTTTTTGTTTTTTTTTTCCCCGGAAACTTCGGTGGGAGGAAGCACTTGAGGGGGTGGTGATAAGAGCAGCCCTCTCAAGCGGACTTCCGGGTGAAGGCTCCATCTATTGGTGGGGAGCCGCACCTGGTCTGGAAACCGGGCCCAGTGTCCCAGATATTACAATACGATGCTGCTCCAGCTGGAAACCGGGTCCAGCGTCCCATACCCTACAAAATGCAAAGGTAGGTTTCGTAATTCAGGGCCTGGCCTACATACTGCTGAAAGACATTGCCAACTGCAACTGCTTTTCCTATGCTCTGCCACCATCCTAAGCCGGTATTCTGTTCCCCCACTTGGCTGTTTACATACCCCCTTGTTGTTGGTGTCTGTGTACTCCGGGTGAGGGGCTCCTGCTACGATCTTCCCGTCCTGAGTAGGCTCTCCATTGATCCATCCATCTCTGGACTTACTATCCTTGTCCTTTCTCTCCCTTGTCGGTGTAGGGCCTATCGGCCTTTTTTTTTTTTTTTTTTTTTTATATTATTATAACTCCCGTCAGGGTGCTAGGGGTGGTCGTACCGCTGTATGTATTGTATGTGTGGAAGGGGCTAAGCCTTCTACTATTGTTGATTACTGTCCATTACCCACCCACCAGGCTCGTCTCTTTCTTTTTTTTTTTTTTTTTTTTTTCGAGCTGTTTTTGAACTATTTTTTTTCAATGGCTGTTAGGGGTTGAAGGGGTGTACAGTTCTCAGCCTTTTTTGTTTCGCCCTTTTTTAAGTTTTTTTGAAAATCTCCTCTCTTTGTTCCCTCTCTGTCTCAGCCTGATTATCATCAGGGAGTCAAAAGTCAAGATTAAAAGTTGTACAAAAAAAAAAAAAAAAAAAAAGAGATTAAAAGTTGTACTGATGTGGTGGTGATGGGGAGGATGGGGACCCGAGTTGGGAAAGTGTTTAGACTTCATTCCAGGGCTGATCATTGGAACCCCGAAACAATGAACCTCATTTGGATCTCTCTTGGGACGGCTCGGCCGCCGGTCCAATGTCCCAGGAGGCCCGGGCACAATTTTGGCGATGACTGTGCAGCTTGTGTGTGTGTGTCGTCACTCCACAAAGAAAAGCAGGACTGTGCCAGACTATTTCGTCGAACTTTCACCACCTCATCAGGAGGTCGAACCCCGACATTCTGATCCCAGGATGCACTTGACTGATGGATAAGGACTCGCCACATCGCCCAGAGTTATCGATACCCTTTTGAGAGAGAAAAAGTGGCTGACTTCAATCACACCAACTTCTCGGTGTGTGTGTGTGTGTGTGTGTGTGTGTGTGTGTGTGTGTGTGTGTGTGTGTGTGCGAGTGTGAGAGAGAGAGAGAGAGAGAGAGAGAGAGAGAGAGAGAGAGAGAGAGAGAGAGAGAGAGAGAGAGAGAGAGAGAGAGAATGAGTGTGTGTTTTGGGTGTGTGCTAATACGCACGCCAGGCCGCTTTACTTCGCGCTGGCTGAGCTCCGGCATAATGGCCGGCACACTACGGAATCCTGGCAGGGATGGTGAAGTCTGTCAACAATAGAACGAGTTATGCGGTGCAGCCAAGGCGCTTTAGAGTGCATGAAAGCCATGCAAATAGAGCGGCTGCCATACAGTGTGAATGAACAGTATGAGGAACATATAGGTTGGAGGGCAAGGGGGAGGTGGGAGGGCAGACGATACATAAGCACAGAGGACAAGGAAGGACGAATGCTGGAGGGCACGGGGGAGGTGGAAGGACAAACATCATACAAGCACACCCAACAGACAGGCCAAAAAAACACTCCCAAGACAGTCGAAGGACCGAAAAAAAAAAAAAAAAAAGCTGGTGATGAAAGATTGTTTCGTCAGAGTTGCACTGACTCATCAGGAGGCTGAACCCTCGACAATCTGAGGAATGCCCGTATTGATGGTTTGGGTCATGCACCCTTTGACCCTTGTTGAAGGCAGATTGTCCCCAAGTGGAACATAGCAGTGGGCAGCAACCCTGCGGAGCACCAGGCAACGCAGTAGAGGCAACGCGGCTGCACAACGCCAAAAACAACTGCAAGGAACGACACGGCACGCAGGACTTGCAGCACGGCAACCAAGCAGCGAAGCACCAGGCAACACCACCAAGACAACCACACTGCAAGGGACGGCAGGGCAAGCGGACAAGCAGCATAGCAACCATGTTGTGAAACACAAGGCAACACCAACACGGCAACCAAACTACATGGCACACAAGCAAAGGACATGGAAGGCACAATCAGCGGAAGGGCGGCAAGGCAGCGAATCGCAAGGCAACACCACAACCCGGCCACGCCACACAGCAAAGACAGCAGCTTGCCAAGAACGACCTGTGAGGCAAGCGGAATGGGCAGCAAGGCAGTGGCGGAGCACAGACGAGGCTGTCCACACATCCAACACGGAGGAAAGCAGCACATCACCTACTCACATCACGGGTGAACCCCACAGACTGTTGGTTCCCACCGCCCACTGAGCCAGGGAGACACTCTGACGAGCATCCGTCATCACCTACAGGCAACACGGACAGCCTGAACTGAGCGGCCCCCATAAGAGTGCAGTAGCCACTCCAAACGAGGAACCACCGACTGTTTGGCACTACTTAAAGGTGCTCAGTTGGGCATACAAAAATACTTTGGAAAAATTAGGGGAGA